AAAAATGTACAATTATATTTTACACACATTTTACCTACCTTTTTCGTTTCCTTTTCCAAATTTCTCTCTAAATTTATAAACCAAACGCAGCCTAAGAATTTCTTATTTCTTGTAGTTTCAAATTTCTTTTCTTATGGACTTGAGATTCTTTTCATGCGATCCAGCGAAGAAAATGTTTTTCTTATTTTTTGGTGTTTGGTACGACAGAAAATAAAAGTTAACAGAAAATATTTTATATGGCCAGTGAAAAACAGGCCAATTTGACCAAAAAATATTTTTTGACTTTTTTTATTTATTTAGTTTTGGGATAATATATATTTTTCACTTTTAAAAGTTGATTTTAAAAGTCGAAAAATATTTTTCGAACTAAACTTTTAACGTCACCACATTGACACCACCATTCACACCACCACCACCACCATTGCAGTCGTTGCCGCCACCAACTTCACCTTAACCTCCACCACCACCACTACCACCACCACTGTAGCCGTTGCCGCCACCACCTCTACCTCAACCTCCACCACCACCATTACCACTACTGCCTCTACCATATCACTACCACCTTTACCATCACCCCTGTCGTTGCCACCACTATTGCCACCTCTATTGCCGCCTCTATTGCCACTACCTCCACCTTTATTGCTACCACCACCGCTACCACTACCGTCACCCCAACACCTCCACCTCCACCTCCACCTCCACCTCCACCTCCACCTCCACCTCCACCTCCACCTCCACCTCCACCTCCACCTCCACCTCCACCTCCACCTCCACCTCCACCTCCACCTCCACCTCCACCTCCACCTCCACCTCCACCTCCACCTCCACCTCCACCTCCACCTCCACCTCCACCTCCACCTCCACCTCCATCTCCTCCTTGTTAGGAAAAATCTTTGTGATTTCCCACAAGTAAATTAATCAATGGGAATAAAAACTAATGCGAAAAAATTAAATCAAAGGCAACACAAGAATTTTTACGTGGTTCCCTCAATGTGAGGTACGTCCACAGGATTGAAATCCGATTCCACTATCAACCAAATAAGTTCCAAACGATTACAA